TCTCTTAACCAGCAACGTCCTTTCCCCCCTCTTTTTTTGAAATTCCCAATCTTGTTTGAGTGGTCTTAAGAAGCTCAATACTATGTATTGCAGGTCGTCTCCCGAACACAAAAAGGTTGAATCTGGATGCTGTTGGTGTCGAGCTTGACAACATGAAAGCGGTGAAGGTTAGTAACAAGTGCTTTATCATATTATTTGAGTTTCTTGATTTATCTTATTCATGAAATCTTGGAGATGATGATTGTTGGTGCATTGTGGGTTTTCTTAGATGTTGCCCGCATCTTCTTTACAAATGTGATGCTGTATTGAGCTATAAATTTGAATGCGAATTTCCTTTTTGAAAATTTTAATGGCGTAAGGTCATCTATTGAATGTATTATGATGAATGAGATCCGTTGAGGCAGTTGCAGGACTTTAGAGTTAACTGAATATAAAAATGTGAAGTGTCTAGTATGGGTGGTTTATTAAGCTGGGTTACTTTAGATCTTGTATGTTAATATGCATCCCCTTCAGCCCGTCTGGCAGTCTACCACACACATTGAAGAGTTCAAAACAAAGGGAAAAGTTGCATTAGGAGTCCTTAAATGCTCTTCCTTTTTTTCCAGTATATGAAATTCTAACTGTTGGCTTTCAATGCTAGTCAGTATGCATGGCTTATGTGGTTTCTTAATTTCTTGCTTCTAAATTGTTCTAATATTCAGCAATGCTACCAATTTCAAAAAAATAAAAATTGTTCTAATATTCAGTACTAACTTAAGTTAATGACAATTGCTTTTTCTTTTTGTTATCAAGAACAATTGTTTTCTATAAAGAATAATCTCATTAAGGCTGTGGAATTTTTTTCAGTATCCAATCTGTATACTAAAAGAGACCTTACAGAAAAGAGAAAGGGAGTCGAGAACTTACCCATAATGTGTTTTTTAAGCAAACAACACCCAAACATCTAACAGGAATATTGTGGGTGCACCAAAAATTTACTAGAAATAGAAGACATGCCCTCATCTATTCAAATCATTTTTCACACTTTTGAAGGCTCTCCTATTCCTTTCTCTCCAAGATACCTAAAGAGTTAATGGAGCTACATGCCTACATCCATGCTTTGCATCTTTTTTCTTTTGAGGGCTAAGTTGAACGCCATATTCTTGACTAATTGCCCACTATATTTTGGAAGACTCAAGAGTGTCCACCCCAATGATTACCAACTTCCAAGTGTAGCAAAAAGTAATTGACGTCTTCAGCATGTTTTCACATGTATAAGAATGCACCCCCACCACTTCCAACCAAGTGAAAAAACATACCTTCCTTGGAGCTCTGTATATCTGTACTTGTTAAAATTGGGTAAATAATCAAACATCAATCGACCTATTATCCATAGATCAGGAATACTCAGATAAGGAGGATATGATTTAGTTAATTTTCTTACTAGCATCAGTGTAATAAACATGCTTATGTTTCATTTTGTATTTAATATTGCCTTTTATTGATAACCTTGTTTAGCAAATTGCTGTAATTCCAAGCAACGTAAAGATTTTTCATGATGTTGTCTTGAGAGAGACCTCCCTAATGTTTGTTCCAGGTAGATGAGTACTCTCGCACCAATATACCCAGCATTTGGGCCATTGGTGATGTCACCAATCGAATGAATCTTACTCCTGTTGCTTTGATGGAAGGAACCTGTTTTGCGGTAACTTTTTCTTATGCTTGTTTACTGCCAGTAGAATTATTTATTTGTCCTTAACTTGGATTGCTGGATTCACTATGGTTGCTTTTGTTGTCATCTCCTGAAAGATTATTGCCTACTTACGTTGTGCTTCATGTCTGCAGAAAACTGTTTTCGGTGGAAAGCCTACCAAGCCTGACTATTCACATATCCCATGTGCTGTGTTCTGGTACTTCTTTGATATACCTTCTTGATTGCTTATTTTCTTGTTATTGTGACCTGTTTGTAACGCTTCATCCCAAATAGCTTGTCCTAGTCCTTAACGAACTGTAGGTCAGTTCCTAAATGTCATCCTTTATTTTAGTTTGAAACTAGTGGAATCAATTTGAGAAAGATCTCCCAATACATAGTTGTTGGAGTTACCAAGTCTCTTTTAGGAAGTACAACTTCTACAACCGTCAATAAAGAGCTGACTTCTACTAGAGAAAACATGACAACAAAGAAATTGATTGCTTGAATTCTATCTCATAGGACAGCTGATGGAAACATTCGCCAGAGAAATTGAGACTTTTTGAGTTCAATTTCATAGAAAAGCCGATGTCAACATTTTGTGAAGTGTTTTAGGACAGCGGCAGAAGCCGATACTTATCGGAAATCAATTATGTTTAGACTGTCACACATTGGCTGCGGGAATAGCAGGTAGTTTTACAGATGATTTTGGAGACTACTCACTTCCTGAGCTAGTTTTGGGGGTTGAGTTAGGCCTAAGGTCCATTTTCTTGCTATCATAACAATATCAGACCAATCCCTGTTGTGTTTCCCAATGTTGGACCCCAAGTTATGTTATCCACATCCTAGATATCCAGTACAAAGCATCGATGGTGTTGGAGTGCCCCACTGGATTGAGGATATGAACTGTAGTCTCTTTATATCTTAGACAGTCCTCAACTCTTGGGTTAGCTTTTGGGGTTGGGTTAGACCCAAGTTGATGTCAATTGATGAAAACTAGACAATGAAGTCGACGATTTTATGAAGTGTGGGGGTGAATTGCTTAAGTGATACCAAATTATCTAGAGAAGCAAATCGGCAATAAAAGCCAGTAGTGGCAGTTACTTTAGCTCTGAAGTGTGGATGGGTACTTTTTTTTTTTAATCAGTTCTCATTTTCTTATCAAACTTCTGAAATTAATTGCTTCGATGTTGTGAAGTAAGCCCATACCTGGTAGAAAGTATTTCTTTGAGGTTAATCACATGATTAATATCTTGTTTGATATTTTTGGTTGAATGTATAACAAGTATATTATTTTTGCTGGACAGCATCCCGCCTCTCTCTGTTGTGGGGTTTAGCGAAGAACAGGCCACAGAGCAAGTAAATGGAGAAGTTTCAGTTTACACGTCAACATTCAATCCAATGAAGAACACCATTTCTGGGTACCAACCAAATTACTTTTTGATTTGTTGTCAGTAGGTTTCCCCTAAATGTGTACCTAATAGTACAGCTAATTCTTCTTTACCTGGCTCGTAAATCAATTCACTGTCCCTCCATGATTCTTGTGTGTGCACGTAAGCTTAAGCTACAACGGAGGGGAGATTTTTCTTTTCTCTATCTTTTTATTTGTTCAAAATGTTTCTCCAATATCAGCATTTTTGATGGGTACTGGATATTTGATGATTACTGATTTCTTGTATGTAGCATTCCTGTGATTGAACGACTGCAGTGTTTAATCTTGGAGTCATGTTATGTATTGATTCTTGAGCAGTTTTTCGTATTTACAAATTGATCACACCAATAAAAAGTAGAATTGTGGCAACTAATTCACAACATTCATACTGTAACAGACGAACAGAGAAGTCAGTAATGAAGCTTCTTGTTGATGCCCAGACGGATAAAGTTTTAGGGGCATCCATGTGCGGTCCAGATGCACCTGAAATCATGCAGGCATGTATTTTCTGCTTCAGCGCTGCGTATAATTTGCTTGTACACTTGCTTTTTCTATGTTTGTGTTAATTTTAACCTTTTATATTGCCTCTTCATGAGTGCTATAATGAGATTCTCAACTGTGAATAATTTGAGTATTATGCCATGTAGTTGGTGCATCTGAGTCTTAATGGCAGAATATGATTGCTCCAACTAATTTTCAGCATCTTTGAGGGTGGCATCCTTTTTGTTGCATAATAATGTTTAACAGCCTCCATCATTAAGCGTCTCTCAAGCAATGTCTCTCCTGAAATCCAATTTCCATTTTAAGTTTCATTATTCACACGTCTTTGCTGAATGCCTTATTTCAATTTTGGACATTGTGTATCACTGCCTTTGTCATCTTTGTAGTCAATTTCATTTTATATGCATTTCGTGTAAGACTTCATTCTCCTCCGCATCCTTCTTGTCCCATAGGTATGATAATCCTCACCCTTGAAACCCCCCTACTCAGGAGTCCCAACAATGGTTTTCCCAACTTTGCTTCCTGACACCAACCTCTAGAACCTCATGGTTACAGGTGGTAGGCCCTTAATATTAGATTATCCCTCACTTGTCTTCATTCTTCCCTGCATTTTTACTTCCCAGCATGCACAATTTTAGATATGCTTAGCTACCTTTCCTCCAGCTATTGGCCCCCAAAAGGGAACATAAAATCTTCAGCATTTTTTCTCCCCAAGCTTAATTTGAGTAAACAAAATAACGAATCAAGTAACAATATGGCTTCTTCCTGGATGACAGATAAGCTTTAAAATTTTCATCCTTAGGTGCCCCTCGTGAATTTCTTCCTTTTACCATCATTCTAAGGTTTCTACATCATGATCATGATTGATAAAATTTCTTCGTTCCTCCAACACAGGGCATTGCCGTTGCACTAAAGTGTGGAGCAACCAAGGAGCAGTTTGACAGTACAGTAAGTCTTACGTTACTTTTACAATTTCTTCCTAAAATGCCAAGTACTAAGAGAATTGCAGTAAGACGAAACAGAGTGAATACTTGATTTCATAGATTCCGTCCACGGATAAATTTGGGATATGCTATTGTGAATAGTATTTGTTACATTTTCCAAAAAAGAAAGAAAGAAAGAAAACCTACTCCATAGAATGATTACCCTATAGGCTGAATCCTCAACTCCTCTTCACTAAAGAATGGTGACATAGAAGATCTTATAGTGAGTTGATTCTTGTTTTTGTTTTGGTTTTGGTTTTCTGCTTTCTCTAACCAAGATATATGTATATATATCGTACTTCATTTATTTTCCTTATTTATTACCCCAGGTGGGAATACATCCTTCTGCCGCAGAAGAGTTTGTGACCATGCGTTCAGAATCGAGGCGCATTTCTTCGAACAAACCAAAGACAAACCTCTGAGGAACCAAAGATGTGATAAAACTATACTACCACATTAAAAAAGGGTGATTTCATGAGGAAAAAAAGAACACCTACATTCAGTATTTACAACCCCTCTTCATAGTATTAGCTACATGGTGCGATTTGTTTTTGTGGTTTTGAATACGTTTGAGGACCAACAGGGAAATGTTGGCAATAGTAATATCTGCATGTTGAATAAAAAGTAGCTTGGGTTTTTCTATATTTATACCAGCAGCAAGTTTCAAGCAGTGATTTGGTGTTAATATTGTACTCCCCAATCTGAGTTGAGTGTCTTTCGGAAATAGTCTCTCTACCTCCACGAGGTAGGGGTAAGGTCTATGTACACTTTACCCTCAATAGATCCTAGTTGTGAGAACGTTGTTATTGCACTTGCCTTTTCAATTTGTTTGTCTTAGTTTTACTCAACACGGAATAGAAGATTTTTCAATCATAAAGATATGTTTGATGTACCAAGATATACTTCAATTAATATAATTTACAACTTTAGCATCGGTATAATCTTTGATACTTGCGAAAATTATACAATTTACCTCCAAAGGTGAAGAATCAAAATTTGAAAACTAAGCTTGCATTATCTTTTTGCCTTGACAAACATCACAAGTTATGAATCCATGGCCTTCACAATAAGGACACTTCATTCCTTCATCTATCCATTCCATAAACTGCAACACATTCCAACATAAGTTTCTCAACTAAATACTTGAAGAATTATATATTGCTATAAAAAAAGTACAGTTATGGTAAAAAGCTTTCAGAGTCCTCTAACCTGTTCCTCAATGTTTGGTTCACCAGTCCCATCACATTCTGCACAAAACACAATTACCCTCAATGTTTGACTATAATCCTTCATGTTCTTCAATACTTAGTACTAATTAAGATACAAAGACAAGAGAAGGGACAGAATATATACCCATGCATAATATGCGACCCTCTCCACGACAAGTAATACACGTCGTGGTGGTACTGCCACTAGTAGTCTCTGCTGGTTTCTTACTTGAAGAAAGTCTGGAAGGTTCTTCCCATCGGTTCTCTCCGAGGAGAAAGACTCGATGGTGTGAAACCTCAGTTTCAGATACACCATCTTCTTTCACAATGGTCTGCTGAACTTCCTCTATTTCCATGATAGATGCAATTGGTGCACCATTTGCACTAGTCTGAGGTGGAAAGAACAACATCAGATTATAGTAAACTAAACTAATCGAGATTACTTATGTTTTATCTAGGATGAATCTGAATTACAACTGACATTGGAAACCCACACTAATGATATCATTGTAATGAAAGTGTTCCAAATTTAATACTTATGGTCAGTGCCTCAGCCATTTCAAAACTTCATGGCACACCCCAAATGTCCTTAAATTAGCAGACAGTTTGATAGCAGGAGAGATTCACTATCAAGTATAATACACGCGTCCAAATTTTCATAACCAACTTTTGGTATGGACAATGTCAATGGCATTACAATTAACTACAGTGGGGGAAAAACGAGGTTCAACTGGTCCCAAATAATGGCTAATTCCATGCAGATATGATTTGTCAAGGCAACTAATGGGTCTGTTTTATTACCTTCCTTGATAGAAAAATGCATAATTTAAGTCATAAAGACTTATATAGTAAGACCATGCAACTACTGAAATTTCATTTTTCCTATTCCTTGATTTATATCATATTAGGAGTTTGTAATACGTATCTCTTTCCAAGATTCTCTATGAATGACATATCAAGAAACAATGGTGAAACAGTCTCATGGAAGAAAGCACTCATACAAGACCAGATAGTGCCACAGCTTCTATTCTGGAATGATGTCAGATAAACCTCTTCACTCAAAGTTTTTTTGTTAAAAAGAAAAACAGCAAAGGTAAACCAAACATCTGCTATGAGTAACAGGTTCAAGTTCGAAATTTGTAGGGAGAGCAAGATATCAGTATTGACAAAAGGGATAACACACCTTAGCTTCAGTTCCATCTGGTTGTTTGGGATTTTCCTTCACTCTGTCAATATTTTGCACCATATATAATTTTTCAAGAAGTTCGGAAGTCATAATGCCATCTTCTCGTAAATCAGATGAAGCCTGCTCAGATGGATAGGAGAGAAATATGAATCATCTGTATTTTACCCACAGCCAAAACAAATATAATTTGAGACTTTCCTGTTTACAAAATGGAAACAAACCTGCCAAGTTTTCACAGCACGCTCAGTCCCACTAGAGAAGCTGGAGAATTCCATATCTTCTTCACCACAATAAAAGCCCAATTTTAACAATTGTTCCTGAAAAGGGCAAATGGAAGGGTATATTTAAGTAGAAGTATATAGACCCACTAAGGAGAGAAAACTGCAAAAGTAAAAAAGCAAATCCAGAACTAATCAATGCAAACGAACCATTACATATGTGCTTATGTGATCCAACACAATCCAAGTTTCCGGCAAGTGCATGAAGTTCACAACACACAGGGATAAAGGAAGTCTGAATTTACACAGTTTTCTGTTATCACTAATTTATTCAGCTAAGAGATAAACACAACTACGAAAACGTGACTCCAAAACAGGAAGTCAGGTATTCTGTGCCACATCCATGATACCTCAGTAAAATTAGCTTGATTGACCAAAATACTGGAGCAAGAGAGCTATAACAATACCAATAAGGGAAGTGACCGTCATATAATATTAAACTCTTTGGTGCTGATGTATACTTGGGACAATAACACTTTTGATGCTTCAAGCTATCTACTAACTAAGCTCATTTTATCCTCATAATATCCTGGGTACTCTTGGACTACGTGGTGACAATGGTACAAGGACTACCAGTCTGTTCATGTTGGAAGGAAACTTGTCACGTGAAGATCACGTGACAGACAAGCTCTGCTGATGGAAGAATAAATTGCAAGTATAGAGTAAATGAACAATTGGGTTCAAATTTACAGGTTGACCCATAATGGGTTTTCAGCAGCTGTACCAAGAACAATTTCTTGTAAATCTCTTATCAAAATTCATTACTCAGTTTCCACGTAGTTTTCATTACTTCCAGATTCTCAGCGAGTTCTTTTAAGATCACATTTTATTTTGGTACTGTCTTTAAATTGAAAACTTCATCAAGTTATGTCATGCATCTGGTATATGTCAAAATACAAAATAGAAAGCAAAGAATCAATCAAACAAGCAGGAGAGTTGATTTAACCAAGTTAATGTGATAAAAAGACACGGTGACTCTAAGTTAGCAGACCTGCAGCAGTCGAACTTCATCTCCTTCAGATCCCATTTTCAAAGTCCGCTTCTTCTTGGCTTTGTTACCCTCTCCTTCTGACTCTTTAGGAACTTCCCTGATCACCTTCTCTTGTTGTGGTGCTTCCTTGACAACAACCTCATTTTGCTTTGCTGCTTCTAAAACTAATGGCAACGCAATCGACCCAGTTTCGGCAATCACAGTTACATTCTTTCCCCCCTCCCCCTCCTTCAGCATCTAGAAAACCAAAAAAAAAAGAAACATAAACATAAAAATAAGGTTTTCATGTATGCACTAGTTATAGAACTGTTCAAAAACTTTTAGTACCAATTTACCAAAAAAGAAAAAGCTTACGAATGAATAGAATTTTTTATTTTTATTTGTGTTTGTTTTTCCTTAAATTCTCAAAGCAAAAGTAACAAATTTACCAGCATCTGTGAATCAAACAAACAAATCAAAAGCAAATTACCTAAAGATAATCATTTACTGATCTCAGAAACTCATGAACTTGTGAAACTTTAATATAAAGAAAGGGAAACATTTTCCAAGCTGAATTTCTAAAAGTACAAAAGAAAAGAACACCAAAAGCCTCAAAATCATAAATTTTGATACTAATATAGTTCAGTAAACATGATCACACATCTAAAGAGTATACTTAGCAATTTAGACATTCACATTTTAATTATACAATGATAGACTAGTGAGCCTACTCTCATCTTTTCCGACTCCGAACTACGAAAAAAATCACTTTTCCAGTGTTGTTGCTGCTACTAGAGACCCTTATTAAACCAAAAATTCAGCTCAATACTGAATAATCAATTCAACTGAAGCTCAAACTGCAATTAGGAACACCGATTAATAAGAAACTAAACTAAATCAGGTGTAATAATCCAAATCAAATTATACAAAATTTGTGATTTCACTTCATTTCCATTTTTAGGGCATTTAGTTAGTACGCACAAGTCAATCAACAATTTGTTATTCCCAAATTCAAATAGATCCGTCATCCATGTACCGCACCTGCAATAACTTAGCAATATTAGCTACCGTCTCCGTTACAGAAGTAGCTTCTGGAAGAAGCGAATCCCTATTACTCTCAAGCTCCTTAACACGAAGCTGTAACTCCCGAATTTGAACCAACAAAGCTTCTCGCTCCGCTTCCCACCTTCTCTCTTCTCTTAACCACCGTTGCTCCTCCCTCAACCACCGCTGCTCTTCCCTTAACCACCGCGACTCCTCCCGTTCCGGCGAACCACTGTAGCAAACGTGAGATACAGAGAAGGATGCCGAGGAGTTTTTTAGAGAGAAGAATTTAGGTGTGTAAGTGTTGTTATGGAGATTTGAGGTGAAGATATGGAAACTCAGTGGTAGTGAAGACGCCATGGATGTGAAAACTGTTAACAGATTTTTTTTGTTCAGTTTTAACGGTTTTTATTTATTTATATGAAAAAACTAATTAGAGATATTTTTAGCTGGCGGGAAGCTAAACAGTGCATTATGCTAAATGCTCCAATTTATTTCAAATTATATGTCGTGCTTCTCTATTATGCATTCATTACAAAAATGACAAAAGACATTTAAAGGGAATCGATCCGGCTCATCAGCCCTTCAAATCAATTGAGTCATTCCGATTAACATTAAGTAGGTTGTTGAGATAAAAAAAATTGATGATCGTGGTGTTCGGACCAGCTTTTGCCCATCTCGACTAATTCCATGGAATACCTACCACCTCCCACCAATAACGAGTACCAGGTAACTCTCTCTGTCAAAGCTAGGACAAATGGAAAGAAAGTTGTTTTTGAGGTAATGTAAGTCATTTTTTCAAATAATGCCACATAAGTTGAATCACAGAAAGTATAAATATTATTTTTATTGTCCAAAGCAATCAACCATTAAGCATTAAGTTGCCCTAGTAGAATCATGTTTGCTTGAAATTCAAGTACATATGATCGAAGATCAAATCATTTTTGCCTGAACTTCAACGACTTAAACATCAAACATCTTATCTAAAAGTCTAAAATTGTTCTGAAGCGAGTAAACGGTGTTCAAAATATTTCAATGTACCAGAATCCAGATGATCCAAATTTGAAATCTTATTCATCGACAAAAATATTGAAGCAGACGATATTCCATTGTTCAAGTTTTGGAATACAACAAATATAAAGAGCATAATACCAGAATCTAAATGAATACACAAAAGCAAAAACACAATCTGTTTCCTCAACCCCTTTTTCACTTCAACAGTTCCTCCCATTTGCTTCCATGAATAATTACCCATATATTTGCTACAATACAAACAGCTAGTGTCGTGAAAACCCCCGGAAGGCAAAACCAGCTTTATTACAGCTATAAGTTGATCTTTGGCAATGGCAATATAATTTAAACAACAGGAAATGAGAGAGAATCACAATTGTACAATATCATGGGCAGATTGCACCATTGATGTCCTGACGTTTAATGCAGCATTAGAATTCTAGTCGAGCTTCACGTTAGAATAGAGAAGGGTGTCCCTTGTAAGTGGCATGTTGAGGAGAAAGTAGATCTGCATTCATTTAGAGATGCCATGAGTTGTAAAAAAACAATGTACAAGGAAAACGAGAAGACCACATGATAACATGTTATAGAAGAGCGCTAAAAATAAAGAAATATAATCATCCCCACCCTACAAATCACGTCCGAGATTGAAGATAATCTATGACAAAGGAAACTATACATATGCTTTCTAAGAAAAAGGAAACTCTTGGTGCAATTATTCAGAACCTACAGGACTTGGAAGCCCATCTAAAGCAACAGTAAATGCTTGCGAAACTTATTCACTTCTGCATTTCCACATGTTTACAGTGGCTGTGCTACAACATTTTAGTGTTTACACCCACTGTCTGCTTTCTCTTCTGCTAATACTGTTGTTCTATATTTATTCATCAGCTTAGGCAGAGGAGTCACCGAGTCACTACCTAATGGGGTGCAATGAGAATCACTAGTCTAGTTCCAATTGTCAAAAGCTAAAACTAGAGAACTATCTTCTCGACTAATGGAGAAAAGGCCAATGCCTTCCCCAAACCAAGCCTCGCTCTACTGCTGGAAACCACAGTGCCTCATTATAGCTCCTGAGAAACTTCAGTACCTTATGACAGCTCCCGAGAGGTCCAAAGGTTGGAGGAGAAGAACTCAACAATCACTTCAACCCTCTTCGGGGTGGATTTGACTAAAAAGAATTTTAAGCCCATCTAAATAAAGTGGACTTTTTTCTTTGATGAAGTACATATCGTAGAAAACAACCTAGAAATATCTATATTTCTGTTCTAAAACTATCAGCCTGGTCCATCTGTAAGTGTCATGTATTCTTAGATTGCTATACTTATAGTTAATCCCATGCATGGTCACCTATAACAAATGTGCAACAGTTCTTTCAATTCTGAAAATTGAAGCACTGAAATGTATTTGGTCAGAAAAACTTACTCCTAATAGAGTGGCAATTATAAGCAAGAGTCCTGTAATCCATGCAACGGTTCGTCTAACCAATATAATTTCTTCAATAGCAGTTGAACTAGGTGAAGTTTGTGTTTCCTCCAGCCAGCGGGCAGATGGTTGAGAAGTGAAAACGACGTCAAATAATGGCTCTGCTACTGAAGGTGTTTCATTACAGACAATGACTCCAACAATTTGACCTGCATGAGTAATACCGAGTTGAATTTAACATAAATCAGAAAGGAAGAAATAAAGGAACACATTCTTCTCTTAATTACTGCACAAATTTTTTCCATTTAAGAAGTTCAAGTGCTTTCATGAAACGCTGCCTCAGTTTCAAGAATACACTAGATGGGTAAATTCAACTCTTGTTACATAACCAAATGCAGATTCAGAGATCGCTGAAGCTGCTAAAAGTTGTATCAAATTTGTCAAAATCAGAGAACAAAATCCAACCTTTATAGGCTTCAGTTAAGGAATCAAACATCTTCGACATCACAATACCGAACAATTTAGTTCCTTTCACAACACCTTCTGCTCCATACTGCTCTTTGAGAGCCTACAAGAAATCAAAAGATTAATTGAGCTGGTATGGCCTGTATAACATGTTTCATGTTTGCCTCGTGTATGTATCTTAAGTGAGGTCAAATATTTCAGATTACCACCAATATAGGATAAGAATTTTCGTTTTCCAGACAAATGGCAGACATAAAAGACATTAATGATTATCTGGAACTGCATGGCACACGTCCAACTTTACTGAAAACATGACCCTAGAAAGGAAGGTTAGTAGGTAGCCGAGTGTTGTAGCACTTTTATATGGGAGAATCAGGGGACTAGTCTCTCATTATTAGTATTACTATCTAGTACTTGCATAGTAACATTTACTTTGTTTTTATTTATTTGTTACTTGTTGTTTCATTGTTTGTGTTTATCTTGCCACTTTGTTACCATTAATTTTTTCGTAGCCTGTTTTGGTAATGCGTTCTTCAATTCTCACTATTACCTGTTACTTCATTTGCTCTGTTTATCTTGCTATTTTGTTGTCATTATTTTCCTTTCTATCATGTTTTATCTACATTCTTTTGAGCCGAGGATCTATGCAAAACCTCTCTACCCCACAACGGTAGAGGAGTTAGGTCTATGTACATCCTACCTTTTCCATATCCTACTCATGGAATTTATTTATTTTTTGAGATAAGGGTAACTTTATAATCAGAAAAATCATCATCCAGGGGATGATGACGTGGAAACTTACATCCCACAAGTGGTGGGAACACCCCCTTCAAGGGCAAAACAGATTTTACAAGTTTCCTATAAAATCAACTAGATCTACCATCTCCCCTACCATATCTTGTTTACATCACTTGTGGGATTACATTGGGTATGTTGTTGTAATGATCATATGGAACTGGTTTAATCTTTTCTTATAGGGGTGATGAGTTCAGCTGCAACTTCTGTAATTATTGACGGATCCTTCAAACCAAAACAGAACAATTAACTAATGAGAGGTGATGAGCTTAAACATCAGTAATTAGAAGTCAAGGTTATCATCAATATTCAAGGAACAGTTAGTACATCAGAAACTATGGTAATATGATATACAGCAGTCCAGTACAGCTAGGGAGAGGTTGGAAATTAGGGTTAATTAGAGACAAGGGACAAAAAATGCATTAGTACAGAACCTGACTGAAATTGGAGAAGGCAAAGAGAGAAAGATCATTGTTCATAATCTATAGTTTAAAATATACGAGAGATATCATGTATGTACTAAAGCTTAATTTGGGGTAAAGGAAAAATTATATCTTGAAGTAAATTCAGGATTCAAATGTAACCTTAAGGCCATCAAATTTTCCAGAAATTAGCTCAGATGGATGGTGCACAGCTCCAGACAAATCTTGGTGCGTCTCCATTGCTCTTTGAATCTTATGGGTGAGTGAAACAAGACTTGTTACAAACTCCCTATCTGCTTCCTGTGCCGCAAGTAAAAAAGGACAATCAATATAGGCCTAATAGGAAAGAACAATACAAAAAGAAGTCATAGTATAGGTTGTTAAGCCTCAAAAAGTACCTTTGACAATTGAAATATCAAATTAGCGTCATCATCCGAGGGGATTGTCAGCTCTCCATTCACGTATGAACCACTCAACCATGATGCCTGCTTACAAATATCAAACCTCTCATGAGTTGCATGACCTTGAAGTTATTCAATGTGAAAAGATAATCATGCAATGCAACTGCTAACAGACGCTCACAAATTCACTTAGTTCTTTGTCTGAATATTCCGCATCTGTTGTTGGTTCATCCAATGAGAAAAGAGAAACTTTATCTGCATCTGCATACATGTCACATTAATTAGACATAAACCAATCTAATTCTCCTTTTTTACGAGTAATTAACATATCAATCTAGTAAAACACCTTACAACATGTATAAAAGTAAAAGACAACTACCTGGAAGTTGAATGTCAGCTCTATTTTCGTTTACTACATTGCTTCTAAGGGCCTCAAAAGAAACACCTATTACAACAAATGGGCATCAATAAGCACAATCTTATATAATCACCAGATAGAAGATTAAAAGACAAAAAAGACACTAGAATGTCCAATAAGTATGTTCTTTATCTTATTCCAGCTTGCATACCTTCAGCTCCTGTAACTTCTAGGATGAGGACAGAACCCGGCCTATCAAATGGATTTGGTACGAGTACCTCATTCAACTGCAACCAATGGATATTTGATGATGTATATTTCGCTTTAAAGTCAAAACATTAGCTAATAAATGATTCATCTTTCCTACCTTTGATGAACTGGCAGAGGAAAGAGTAGCAGGAGGTGCAAAACCAAGCAAGACTGATACAGTAGCACCAACTTCGGAAAGAGACAAGGAACTTATCTGTGACCAAAAGACAATTATGCAGTTAGTCAATTAAAAATAATTAGACTACGGTAAAT